ACTCTACGTACGTTTACTTTACTTTACGTAAGAAGAAAGTAATACTACTACTTACTACGTAGTGGTGGTGGGTGGGTGGGTGGGGGGTACGGGGGGGGTATTTGCTGTAATTTACATAGGTCTGAAATGAGATAAACTACCCAAAACTTTGGAGACTGGAACTACTATGGTCCTATCGAACTCAAATACAGTTTTATTCCACTGATGGCTTAAATCGTTTTATTTTATATTTGTTTTCTGACTTAGTACCCCAACTCATCTTATTTCATAATTTTTTCTGACTTAATACCTCAACTCATTTTATTTTACAATTTTTTTCTGACTTAATACCTCAACTCATTTTATTTTACAATTTTTTTCTGACTTAATACCTCAACTTATTTTATTTTACAATTTTTTTCTGACTTAATACCTCAACTAGGCCCGGCATGGCCAGGTGGTTAGGGCACTCGACTCGCAATCTGAGGGTCGCGGGTTCGAATCCCCGTCCCACTTAACATGCTCGCCCTTTCAGCCGTGGGGGCGTTATAATGTGACGGTCAATCCCACTATTCGTTGGTAAAAGAGTAGCCCAAGAGTTGGCGGTGGGTGGTGATGACTAGCTGCCTTCTCTCTAGTCTTACACTGCTAAATTAGGGACGACTAGCGCAGATAGTCCTCGTGAAATTTAAAACAAACAAACAATACCTCAACTCATTTTATTTTACACTTTTTTTTTCTGACTTAATACCTCAACTCATTTTATTTTATCATTTTTTTTCTGACTTAATACCCCAACTCATTTTATTTTACATTTTTTTCTGACTTAATACCTCAACTCATTTCATCACTTTTATAAAATGTTTTACTTTTAGAAATTTTCCTGAACTCACATTCTTCTTTGACATGACTCAGTTCATTAATGCACATCTTAACTGAACCTCATTACTAAAAGTTATAGCAGTACGTTTAGACTAACATCATAGGCTTGTAAAAATTCTCACCCCCCCCCCCAGTAGCACAGCGGTATGCCTGCGGAGTTACAACGCTAGAATCCGGGTTTCGATACCCGTGGTGGGCAGAGCACAGATGGCCCATTGTGTAGCTTTGTGCTTAATTACAAACAAACAAACAAATTCTCAAAGACTAAAGTTACTTACTTATACATTCAACATGATATCAGAAATGTAACAAAACCTCTCATTGATAAATATTTAAGTCTTTCCCATATACCATTGGAATAACGTACACAGAGCTATTTCTTAGTACTCAGTACATCAAAATTCATAATCACTTTCATATTCCAACAATAATCGAATAGAAATCTAAACACTTTAGCATTAATTTTTCAATTAATTCAAGACAATATATCACTACAATAACGCTATACATATAAAATCACAATTTTCACAATTATTATACTCTTACGCATCTTCCTTGTAGAACTTCATCAGAGGTGAAGAATGTGAGTAACTAAATGATGCCTACTTTATGTCTACAGTTTTATCAAGGTTATCACATAATACTCTAAACTCATCACATAATACATTAGATATCCATGTATCGTAGCGAAACACGTTCTCACATAATAAATATGATGACCTTGTTTGTACAAAATCTAGGCATTATTACTGTTGTTCTTCAACTATAGTTGCTGTTTAGGTTGGTTTTCAATGGTCGCCTCTTTCATTAATCTTATTAAATTCATTTAAAGTTCGGTTAGCTCAGTGTCTTTTACTGACATCGAATACTATATATTTTATTGAAGACTTTTTTCTGTCCCAAATACACAACATATTTATATTGATTTATTGTTCATTTCATAGTGTCTCTTTGACATCCTGTTAAATATACATGACTTTTTCATTTAAATTTTAAGTTTAATGTGAACGTTATGATATTGACTGTTTATATAGCGCGAGTGTTAAATTTCGTAATTTTTAGGGGCGATCGTTTATTGCAAGTTTGTTTACGTAGCTGTTCACGAATCATTCGATGCGTAGTTTAATAGTTGTGAATTGACGTCATGTTACTTGATCCTTTTGAATTTTCTCGTTGCTTTAAGTAAGTATTGTTACATTATATCTCGTAGTGTGTTGAAAGTTCTAGGCTTCAGTTGGGCTATTTATATATACGCGTCCAAAATGTAGTTCAAGTAAGTGAAGTAAGATAAAGTTAGACAGATAGATCTAGACTGTGTGTTTGTAACTTTGGCCATAAGAGCGTATAGTGGCGATTTCTAAAGTGAAATTATCGCAGACTGTATTGTAACAACAGAGCAGAGAAGAATAATTTGTGTTGTCAATTGTGTGCCTGATGATGACAAAATCTTGTCGAAACGTTGTACATTTGCTGTTATGTTAAACTTATATTAAAGTTTTTCTTCATTACCCATTCAAGCCGTCTCCAACCATTATTAACTTTGTCATTAATATTCACAGTATTCGCATTGTAATTTGTCTGAGGTTGTTTTCCTCTACTGTTTGTTGCATTATTAATACTTGCCAATACAGTTTTTGGCTGTTTTCTCGACGTCTCCGACTCATTTTAGCAGAAATTGGTAATTATCTATGACATTCACAACCACAATGAGAGCATGGTATACTGGTTTTATCGTTCAGACTTACTGCTAAGCCCATGGGGGCGGGCACTCACGACAGAACTTAGAAATAGAACTTTTAATTTTACATTCAATGCAACTATATATTCTTCCAAAATATCCCTAGATTTTCTCACATTTATATATTCATGTAACAGTTGTTCCAGGTTGATTTTCTTAATTATCTTTTGACGTGGAAGTTTTATTAATTGGGCTGAATGAAATACCTTACAATCTGTGTAGAGAGCAAGAGTTTGTTTGTAATTAAGCACAAAACTACACAATGGGGTATCTGTGCTCTGCCCACCACGGATATCGGAACCAGGTTTCTAGAGTTGTAAGCCTGCAGACATACCGCTCTGCCACTGGGGGACTAAGAGCAAGAGCTTTTTAGTTGTGATTAACTCTAAATTCAATACAATGTTTTTGTTTTTCCATGTTTATATCTCAAGCTAATTAAATAGCAACCGCTACTTTAATTTAACTCTTTACGGCCTTAAATATTTGATTTGGACAAAAGGTTTTATAATAATATATTGAAACTCCTAGGAAGAGTACATTGTTATGTTTTGTTGTTTTCTAGTTCTAGCGACTTCTAAGACACGATTTTACTTCTTCTAACAAATGAAGCTAAACACATTAACATTTTATACTGTTGGTAAATCATCAAGTAGAGCTCATCAATGTCAACAACTGGAACAAATACGAACATTCATTTTGAATGAGTGTATGATTTCCATTTTCATTACAAGACACTTACTTTTTTTCCGCCTTAAATCAAGTTCACGCACTGGTTTAGATAAAAAAAAATATATATATATATTTATTTACCTCCCATTGTGGGGTCTTGTTGCCCGTTAGTCAGTGCCCTGTACAGTTACAGCGTTGCGCCGTTTCTAATTCCGAAACACCGACCACAGGGAAGCCAATTGTTGCTGTTGTTAAGCCTAAAGCTAAACAAAGCATTATCTGTGCTCTCTACCGCGGGTATCGAAACCCAAGCTTTGGAGTTATAAGCCTTACATTTTACCGCTGAACCACCAGTGGATCACAGGGAAGCAGCCATCCAGAAGCAATCCCTCTTACTTTTTACTTTGTTATTATTAATTATCGGGTACTTTTTTTACATTATTTTAATACCAGGTGCCCAGTGTAACAAGATGATTATAATGTTATTACTTCTACAACTGTTTTATCCTTGAGAAGTTTGGCACAGGCAGCAATATATAAATCAAACATATTATGTAAGTACTAACGGAAAATTTTAACCATCTAACTGTTTGTTTGTTTTGAATTTCACGAGGGCTATCTGCGCTAGCCGTCCCTAATTTAGCAGTCTAAGACTAGAGGGAAGGCAGCTAGTCATTACCACCCACCGCCAACTCTTTTACCAACGAACAGTGTGATTGACCGTCACATTATAACGCCCCCACGGCTGAAAGGGCGAGCATGTTTAGTGTGACGGAGATTCGAACCCGCGACCCTCGAATTGCGAGTCGAGTGCCCTAACCACCTGGTCATGCCGGGGCCCCATCTAACTGATTGTTTGATCCAACAAAATATAACAAAGTGCTATTTATTCTTCACGTGATATATTGTTTGAATTTACTCTAAACAGTTTTCTTAAAGTAACTTTAACTTAATGAAACGTTTATCTACTTCAAAATTTTGATTTTGTCGGGCCGCGTTCCCAAATCAAAAGAATGAATAGGTGCACATGAGAAATGAAACAGATGTTGGTAGTTATACAACAGGTCAACTGATAAACCAATCTTGCAAGCCATTTCTCATTTACCAAACACACAACAGCGTAAGCTAGTTCGTTTTTTTTTGTTGTTGTTAATGTAAGTGATTTTAGTTTAGATTTTTCTATTTCTTACCTGTTGATCAAGTTTAATTTTTCTTTAGCTCCTTTTATCAATGTCTCAGTCACTTCTCCTCTACATGGACCTAAGACTCGTTTTCATTTCGAGGTATTTGCGTAGAACTACTATTCAAGTCTCAAGTAAACGAAGTGTCCTCCTGTGGCTCAGCGGTAAGTCTTAAGTGCTTATAACTCTAAAAATCGGGTTTCGATAACCCTTGGTAGGCACATTGTGTAGCTCTGCGCTTAACAACAAAGTAAACGAAGAGTTAGAAAACGACAAATATTTAGTAATTAGTAGTTTATATACATGTACAACAAAATAATATACTTGTGATATATCCATTAACCAAGCAATAATATTCCAATATTATTCAATAATATTCCAATATTATTTAATAATATTCAGCTGTTTTTATGAACTCTCGCATACAGTTTATATTAACGGAAATTACAAAACACACATATAAACACTTAGTTACAGTCATATTGATTGTTATTTAGGTTTATTCGCTTCAATCGGCGCGAATTCTGTGGTCACAAGATAAAGGAATACAGCACACATTACAGGATGTCCGAAGAGTCTGGAACCATAGGCGATTTACAACTTTTCTTAATTTCAGATACGTGACTGATTAAGGTGCTGTCAAAACATGAGAAGGTCGAGTTAATCCACTGATTAAGGTGCTGTCAAAACATAGGAAGGTCGAGTTAATCCACTGATTAAGGTGCTGTCAAAACATAGGAAGGTCGAGTTAATCCTGCTGTGTGGTAGAGAAAATTGGTCCCAGCAGAAGGTTGCTATCGACTTTAATTGGTCCCAGCAGAAGGTTGCTGTCGACTTTAATGAACGTGTGTACAAAGTAAAGATCAGAGACACCGAACATCAGAAACAACGAATTTATGACGAATGTCGGACCATTGACAAATGACAAGAATGTGCTCAGCAGTGTTCAAAGAGAATGGAAATACCATCCCCAAACTCGTTTCGAATTACAAGGACGTCATGCGGAACACATTTTGTAAAATTCGTTGAAGTGCTTATGGTTCAAGACTTTTCGGACACCCTGTAGTGTTGGGTTAAACCATCTTTTCAGTGATATCGTGACCTTTTCACCAATCTTATTCACACATTTAAATGTTATTTCTACTTGTTATCGTTCTTAGCCTGGTTCTCCAGAGTTTCAATATAATTTTGCAATTCTGAAACCAACTCTACATGAAGAATACCAGTACACGTCTGGGTACCATCTTGTTTAAGACAACAGCTGAGGGTGAAAGAGTAGACTCTGGTATTGTGGAAACTGAAAATAAATATATATATATCACTTTGATTTAAAAATATAAGGTGATAAATTTGGCACGTTAATGAGATCTACAAAATTGGCTATAGGCTGTCTACTAAGTGTAAGAACTATCCTTTACAATTGGCTATAGGCTGTCTACTAAGTGTAAGAACTATATTTTATTATTATAAGAAGGATATTCGTTCACTTCTTATTAAGTCAATAGGATTTTAAACCCTAAGTATCTGAATTAACTATTAAAACAAGTAAGTGTTTACGTGTAATTTAGATATAATTCTTAAGCAGGTTCCTATTCAGTAAATAAAACAGCTATTAAAAAATATTTTTGTTCGATTTGCTTATGATTCCATGCAAGTGAAATACGAGAATACGTGTTCTACGCCTTTCATTAAAAGTAAAATTGTAAAATTATGTTGTTCTTCATAATTACCCCTTTGGACACTATGAAGCGTCGAAGCGAATTACTGATTTTAACTTTTACTATAGTTCATAATGTTTTCAGTATAGTATATAAACTGTTTCCCAGTTTACATTCATTTTACACAAGTACCCGTATTTACGTCTGTTGGCCTGTTGTAAGGAAACAATGAGGTAACGTTCGCTTCATGACCAGGCTTGAAGCAATATGTCGTGTACAGTTTTAAAGTGTTTGTTGTTCTGACGAAATTTGCCCCTCAGTGGTACAGCGGTATGTCAGCGGACTTACAACGCTAGAAACCGGGTTTCGATACCCGTGGTGGGCAGAGCACAGATAGCCCTTGTGTAGCTTTGTGCATTATTAAAACAAACAAACTGACGAAATTTACATAGTTATTTAAACTTTGCTGTTGTAAAACTCTCTGTAATTTAAGTTACGGCTGTTTTCCATTTAGTGATTGTTTTTTGTTTTCGTGTTCTAGTTTAATTTACAAGGGAACAAACGTTCATTAGCAAGAACATTTTGTTTTATTAAGAATTTCAAGTTTTCATTGTAGTCCTATAGAGGATGACATGCCCAGATTTATAATAGTATTATTGTATTGTTTATAATGTATTGTTCTGTATGGTATATTATGAACTATAATTAAATGTTTGTTATCTGTGCATTGAAGTATTGTCTCTCTCTTTCTTCTAGCGATTCATAGTTGCAAAATGAAGTGAAACATACCCTAAAACCTGGTGTCAGAGGATTTCCTGTTGTCAGAGGGCCCTCTACACTGCAGTTAAACCGAGGTAGTAAAACATATAAGCTTAACACGCAAATATAAATGCAAGGGTGGTTTTAAACTAGAGAAAATTATACGAATAAAACACCTTAGTAAACATATTTTTAGTTAGCAATATTTCAAGTAAACACTCTTTTTCAAGAATGAGCGTAAAATTACGCAAAGAGCGTTTGTTACTTTTCTAAGATGGTTTTTCACAAACTTCCTCTTATATTGAAACATACATAGATACGCACCAAGATTAATTCCAATTTATTTTTCGAAACTTAATCTCCTTCTTATATCTATACTTTGGTGGTGTCGCACCAAGTGTTTTTTCCAACTGTTTCCGATTTGTCAAGGGTTGATAGCAAAAGTATTTGATTAAGGAATCCAAATACTTCTCAAACCTATTTATTCTTTGTATGTATCTGAATTTGAGCAACAAAAAAGCTGAGCAGAGCGTTGCCATTATGCACAGTTTAACATTAGGTCAACTTGTCAAGACAAATAACAAAAGTTGCCCTATCACGTGACTATTACGTCATCTGCATTAACTTCATTGACCTATATCAGTTCTAGTGACCCAAACAGCTTTAACCGTAAGCAAATACGGAAAAAAATTCCAAAGTAAGTCAAGTTTATTTGTAGTTAAGCACAAAGCTACACAATGGGCTACCTGTACTCTGCCCACCACGGCTATCGAAACCCGGTTTCTAGCGTTGTACGTCCGCAGACATACCGCAGTGCCACTGGGGGGCAAGTAAGTCAAGAGCAGAATTCACGGTACTTCAGAGAGTCATTGGAATATTTTATTGAGTAACTTAATGATATTAAAAAAAAAACTTTTAATTTTTTCTCTATTATAACAACGTTTCGTCTTACTTAAGTGTAAGTATAGAAGCTAATAGGAAATCAAATTAATTTTTATTTTTGTACAGATGTGATATTTCTAGAACTGGCTACTTAACAGTACAGTTAACTAAATAGTTTAAAGCTGAAGTGGTTTATTTAAAGTATGACTTCAGTTTGTTAATATTTAGATTATTTATATTCTTAGATACAGTTCGATATCGACCTTAGTTGGAAACTTAAATAATTTTAAATGGATAATGACAACACTTCCAACCCTAGGCATGTTTTAAAACATGTGAAGTTTTAGGTAAGTCCAACCGTAAGTTTTGTAGTACATCGTCGTTTAGATGGCATCGGAAAATAGGCTAGTCGATCTCGAGCAATACATATCTCTTTGGGGAACTAAATATACCAGAATGACGTTTCATTAAAACCCGTCCAATCGGCTCATGAATATTAAGTAACCTCCTGCATAAAAAAAACACCTAAAATCTGGCGAACACAGCATATTGTCAAGCCCTACGTAACGAATACGTTGTCATATTTCCTGAGTTATGGCGTTTCATTCAAGCTCCGCCTCCTGAGAGAGTAGTGTTTGTTTGTTTGTTTTGAATTTCGCGCAAAGCTACACGAAGGTTATTTGCAGCTAGCCGTCCTTAATTTAGCAATGAAAGGCTAGGGGAAAGGCAGCTAGTCATCACCACCCACCGCCAACTCTTGGGCTACTCCTTACCAACGAACAATGAGATTAGCCGTCTCATTATAACGCCACGGCTGAAAGGACGAGCATGTTTGGTGTGAGGGGGATTCGAACCCGCGACCCTCAGATTGCGAGTCGAGTGCCCTAATCACCTGGCCATGCCGGGCACGAGAGCATTGACTTATTAATATTACTCAACGTAACATAAAATAACGTTTAGGAACAACAAGGGATTTATTGGTCTATCTAAGCTGTCCCATTCTCTAAATTATGCAAAAACTATTAAATAAAAAAAATCCCTCAAAGTCAGTTTTTATCATTCAAATAATTATCAAGCTTTCTCTTAAACTCACTTAAATTTACTGCCTCCACAACATCCGAAGGCAACCCATTCCAAAGGCTAACCACCTTCTTAGAAACATAAAACTGTCTTAGCTGTAGATGACTCATACCCTGCCAACATTTGTTTGTATCCCCTAGTCCTACCATTTTCCCCATCAAGTCTGAAAAAAAGATTATGCGTCTACACTATCAATTCCCTTAACAATCTTAAACACCTCAATCAGATCCCCAACTCTTCTTCTTTTTTTTCGAGAGAAAACAATTTCAGAGATCTTAACCTCGTATGACATCCCCTCCATCCCAGACACCTCTCTAGTAGCCCTCCTCTGGACACTTTCCAACAATTTGCTCCTTACCTTAGGAAGGACATTGGAGTATTGTGTTCAGTCTTGAAAATGTGGCCTAACCAGTGACATTAATCCAGTTTGACTGAACTCCATTTGTAACAACCCTCTACTTTCTTCCATCCAAGTTGCTAACTTATTCCCTACACCTATAGAGATAATGTTTTTATAATCCTTTTATGTGGCACCTTGTCAAATGCTTTCTGAAAATCTAGATACACCAAATCTACACCCTTATCCTCATCTACATAAGCAGTAACCTTTTCAAAGAATGTTAAAATATTTTTAAGACAAGATTTTTCCTTAGTGAAACCATGTTGACTATTCAATAAAATTCTAGACTTTGTTAAATGATTTTACAAAGCAGCTTTTATTAGTCTTTCCAAAACTTTTACCACAACTGATGTAAGACTAATAGGCCTATAATTATTGGGACAATTTTTATCACCTCCCTTGAAAATAGGAGTAACATTAGCCAAATTCTAATCCTCTGGCACCTACCCACTATTCAAGAACTTACAAATAATAGTAGCAAGTGGCTCATAAGTCCAATCCTTGACCTCCATCAAAACTCTTGGGAAAATATTAACTGGCCCAGGATTAATGTGATCATTTTGTTCGATTTTATTTCCATCTATCAACTGTTCAAGATGAGGAATATTAAGTGAAAATCCTTTTTTTTTTGTTGTAAAAAAAGGTTCCGGAGCTCTCCTATATTTCCTATGTGAGTTGAATGTGACTTGTAACCAATGTGTAGCAGTAACCATCAATATTAATGGGAAGCTAATCCTGAATATGACTTGTAACCAATGTGTAGCAGTAATCATCGATATTAATGGGAAGCTAATCCTGAACATTACTTGTAACCAACGTGTAGCAGTAACCATCGATATTAATGGGAAGCTAATCCTGAACATGACTTGTAACCAATGTGTAGCAGTAACCATCGATATTAATGGGAAGCTAATCCTGAACATGACTTGTAACCAATGTGTAGCAGTAACCATCGATATTAATCGGAAGCTAATCCTGAATATGACTTGTAACCAATGTGTAGCGGTAACCATCGATATTAATGGGAAGCTAATATTGAATATGACCTGTACCAAGGTGTAGCAGCAACTATCGATATTAATCGGAAGCTAATCCTGCTATACATTAGTACGGGTTATATTCAGGATTAGCTTCTCATTAATATTAATGGTTTAGATAGCTTTTAGGTCAGAAATTGTCTCTTTTGAAGTTACTTAACCACGATGTCAGTTGTTGAAGCGAACAAGGAGGTTCTAAACTTCTAGATTGGATCAGGGTAGTAGGACCCTTCAACTTAGTGATGTTTAGTATAGAGAACATAAAACTCATAAATGTTTGGAGATTACTATTTTTAAAAAAACCTTGTGTGGAAAAAACAACATTTTAAATTACTATAAAAATCTCTACAGTTGATGACTATAAAGTTTTTATTTTGATTATTAAATCCATTTGTTTGTTGTTAAGCACAGAGCCACACAATGGGCTATCTGTGCTGTGTCCACTACAAGTATCGAAATCCGGTTTTTAGTGGTGTAAGCCCTCAGATTTACCGCTGAACCACTGGGGGGATTAAATATGAGAAGCGATATGTGCAAAAGGGCTAATTAATACAGTTATTTTTTATAGATTATAAGCCTTGAATTTTAACTACTTAACAAAGGGAACTACATAACAATGAAAGAAATGTACTTTATACTGGTGTTCTCACATATAGAAATGAACAGAATTTTAATTACATCATTAGTCAGTTACTAATTAAATCCCAGTTAAGGTTTAACATTAATTTTGCTTAAAACAAACATTAAGAGTAAATTAAAACCATCTTTACTAAGTAGATAGTTGATGGAGGTCATATTTGGCACAAGGAGTATAAATACCACTGTAATTACACGCACGTGGTTCAATTAAAACCAAGCCAGTCAATGAAGTCTCATTCTTCAGAAATTTCCCAAGTGCATAAGTTTGTTAATAAGGAAGACGACATTGATATTAACCTTAACAAGACGTCCTCAACAATTGTTTTAAACACATATTGGAGTTTTAACACTGTTACTCTGAAAATAAACAAATAATAACCTCAGAGAATTTGATTAATTTTACTATTAGACTTTCATTATTGTTACTTAACCGTATACACTATTAAGACATTTTACCAACAATAAAATCACCCTCTTTTACCAGGAAAAACATAGTAACAGATTTAGATAAAATTCAACTTCGGCGACATAGCATGTGTAAAAAGTTTTGTTCGGTAAGAATTTTCTTCTTGTCTCATACGTTAAGTTTGCAAATGAATAAATACGCATAAACTTTAAATAGAAACAAGTTGTAACTTAAAGGAATAGGAACTACTTCCTTTCCAATTGAAAGATGAAATAGTTTGTGCGTGCTTTTAATTATTTTCAAAACGAGCCTCCATTTCTGGTTGATCCTGAAAATACTTTTATTAAAAAGTTATTTAAAGAATATATACCAAATAGTTACGTACGAGACGGAAGAAAAAATCGGCACCGATTAAATTTGTTTGTTTTTAATTTATCAGGTTTTATGATAATCCGTTTAATTTGTTGAGAT